ATTACTCGGAGCGCAAAACACCACCATTGCCCCCCAACCCCTCCAACAGCCTTCTCGAGAAGACCGGGGAATGCCTAGAAATGTGTCTGATCTCGAAACACAACCGAGTCCCCCAGAGGGCGACACCGCCACCTTCCTTTCCCCCCATTGTGCATTGAAGGGGTTGGAGGTGTACGGAGGGCGTTGGAGAAATACGTTACCCTACAATACCATTGTTGAAACAAGAGTGAGAGGGAAGGAAAGAGGGGAATTGCTAAGAGATGGAGAGAGAGAGAAAGCACACCCAATTATAAAACGGGACCAGCGGAATACAAGGGTGAAAGATCACTTTCTGGTGTTGAGAAGGCCGGGTCGGACAACGCTAATTAATAATTCAATTAGCGAATGCTCAGAACCCGAGAAAACTAAATACGTTATTCAATTTTCAACCCTTTAAATTTCTACAATATTACTACAAACAAATCTTTAACGTTTCTTTAAAATCATTATGAATATAGATAAAATTTCTGTAATGTTTCAACAAAAATTCCAAAGGATAAAAAACTACTTGTAACAAATCCAAATAATTGTAAATGTAAAGTCTCTGAAAAATGAATATATGCAAATAAATCTATACGATTTCTAAGGGATTTCTATGACATATCATAGACGTATTTTTCTTAAAAAAAAAAGAAATAGAAAAATTGATTAACGATTCTAATTATAATTTTAATAATTTTGTCCATGCGAAAAAATCAAACAAACTTTTTGCTTTCATTCGACATCGTTTCCGTGTTGTTTGTTTTTTCTTTCTTTTTTTAACAGATATGTGCGTGAGTTTTTTTTCTTGGGCCTTGTTGTTTTACTTAAACTTTATAAATCTCGCTTCAGCGAATTGAAAACTTTACAGCTTCGACGGTGAGCAAGATGTAGGGTTTTGAAACGCAAAAAAAAGGAGGGTGCGCTGTATAGATATAAACACTACACGTCCAAGAAACGCATATTTATTTGTTTAATCCGAAAACTGCTTTTTGAATACACACTAAAAACTTTTCTTGAATCGTTGCCCCACGTTGAGAAACTATTTAGAATTTAGATTAGATTGAACAATAAATGAATGTAGCATAAAGTAATTAAGTTTAATGAAGCTCTTTTCAAATTAATGTTAAAATGCATTAAAAACAAAAAAGACAAACATTAGTTGCAAAAATAACATTATTTTAGTCTAAAATGTTAAAAAAAGCAGTTACGTTTATTGAATGTATGTAAAAGTAGTGTTAAGTTAACATTACCAAATAATTGTTGATTTCATGCATACAGTGTAATAGTTTAAGGTTACAAACACAAATCGGTTTAATGAATCCGTTAAATTGACGCAAAACTGAAGATGATGAAACCGGATTATCGTTATGCAACTTTGATATATTAACAGCGTCGGATGTGAATTTGCGTTGGGGATGAGGATGAAGATGAAAGGGATGCAGAGTGGTTCCGGAAGTGACCGCAACGGAATGGCAAATGTAGGAGTCGACCATTTGTTACGGACCGACCGGCCGTAAATCAGCGCCGCGAAACCCGTTAATTATTAAATCCGTCTTCTCCCAATTAATTCCCGCATCATCATGTTATTATTATTATTAATCCTGCGCATTTCTCCTTTTAACCTGCAGTCTGCAGAAGGAGGACATTCGTATCTCTCCAATGGTGAATACACAACTCATCCCGCTTTACGAGCGTCTTGGGAATACGCCGGTTCGATTCCTCTCATGGACATTCGCGTTAAAGTCCAGTTTGAAAATAAAGAAACGGTCGTTAGTTTTTCTTCATAATTCATGCTGTGACGTCGCATCCCTCATCTGTTTTCTCTGCGTTGCAAATTTTTCTTTGTCTTACCACGCGAAGATAGAGAGAGAAAGAGAGAGAATCGGGGCTTTTCAGCAACACGGCGCGCTTCTTCTTTTTTTTTGTTGGTTGGAAAGGGCGCAGGGCTTCTGCATTAGTATTCAGCGAGGGAGGCCGAGCCGTGTGTCTTATGGAGAAAGAGTGCGACAGATAGAGACGGAACACGGGCTAAACTCTACTTACACAGCCCACATGATATTATTGATCAGTTTTCACTGCAAACTACACTCGTCTCCTACTTCCCCTCGCCACCAAAATCGATTGAATTTTCTTTCGCTAATCGCTCCACGCTTTTTTTTTAGTTTCAGCTTACGTCCATACACATACATTTTGTTAGGATAGGTTAAGTTAAGTCAGGTTAGTTACCACAATCTGACATTTATGTTATCTAGATTAAAAAAAAAAATGACGACTCTTATAACAATCATATTTAATAATTTACAAGAAATTATTCTAATAATTTTTCTATAGATTTTTATATTTCACCATGAAAAATAAATAAATTATTTAAAAAAAATTGTATTATTCAACTAAATTCATACATATTAATTAAATATAGAAATGTTAGTTTTCATTATGCAACACTATTTACTCGAATCGTGCAATATGATAAAATAAAACTATATTGGATTTTTTACTTGTATTATTGTTTGTTTCTAATAATATGATATATATCATCGTTTCTCAACCTGAAATGACAGCTGTCACCTTGTGTCAAAGCGAGGAACAGGTAAAAACAAACTGTCACCTTGTGTGGAAAGTGTGGAATTGGTGAGGAAAAGGGGTAATTTTTATACTTGTTGTAAAGTGTGTTTTTAGGGTGAATGCCGTGAACCCACAGGAGATAATTTCTTGGGACAACATACTTTCCTTGTCGTTGTTGACATTCCATGTTTGAGGCATTTTGAAACAAGGGATGAGGTGGATCGCACGTTCCGGGGGAATTTAATAACTGAAGGCGTCGTTAGGGGTTCGCACCCGGACGTCGCGAACTTTATTAACGGCGTCACCGAATACGAAGACGACGTCAAGTCGTGTCAAAAAAAAGAGGCGACAGCAACAACATCCATTATTGTCAAAACGTTAATGCGATTAAGTGCGCAAATTTCGCGCACGAAAACAAAATCACTAACTAGACAGGATTCGAAATCCATTAAAAGTTTGTTATTTTTGTTGCTATGCAAATGGACGCTATTAATTTGTTCGTATACGTTTTTCTTTTGTCATTAAGTTTAATATATGTTTCTTGTTTTTCATGAAAGAACAAGCCTAATCCAATCGATACACAAATCAATGTAGTCAGGATTTTAAAATCAAGACGCAAACGATAAATTGTCATGGTAACGTTAGTTAGTTACCCGGCGCATCCACCATCGATATACGCTTTTCCTATTCGAAGAATTATTTGTATTTTTTAATCTTAGTTTTATTTTATGAAATCGGATGTCCTTTCATTTTAATGAACATATTTTTTACATTTTTTTCTCTCCCACTTGAACTTTCCGGCTTTACGCGTATCTTATAGTGGTAATGAGTAACGAATTGCATAACCAACGGTGGTCTAATTTGTTGCATAATAAATCGCTATTTTGGTTAAGTACACTTTGCATGTCGAAAGCGGTCGCGTGCTGTTACCTATCCAAATACGAAACACGGCATGAAATGATAACAGCTTTAACTTGAAAATATTATTACGCTAAAGTAAATTTTAAGCAAAAGTCAATACCGAAGACGATTAGTTGAAAAGTTATTGTAGTTCCGATTCTTCCATTTTCATTAGATAAAAATTGAATTTTGATTTATGTATCTAGTTATAGTTTTGTATAAATTTGATAATTAATTTTTTAAATCAATAATAAAATATTTATTTTGCAATTTAAATTATAAATTTTTGAATTTATGCAAGTAAAAGAATTTGTTATAATGTCAGTGCGCAATCTAGACGCCTATGATAATTAGCATGGATTATCTAAATAAGTAGGTTATGTAAGTTGTATGCAACCAACATATCGCAAAAATCGCATGCATCAAAAGTAAATGAAATCTATATTTTTTTTTTTCAAAATAAGATATAAATACGTTAAAAGGTGAAAAAGAAAAGAACGTAACAAAGCAAATAAATAGTTTATTTCTCGCTCGAAAATAAACGCTGATCTGAGGAGCTAAGATGAACTCACCGAAACGTACTGCAATCAGAGCGCTCAGTTTCGCGTACAAAAAAAAATTGGGACAGAACAAACAGGCATGAACGTCGATGGTCAAGCTGTGTGAAAACCACCCTTTTTCCTTCTCCCGAACGAATCTCGAAACAAACAAAAAACGCGAATTATCACGCGTTTCGTAAACAGGTGTGACCGCGGCGGTTGCCAACCGAAGGAACGGGGCTAGCAGCAAAATATCCCTGCGCCGCTCCCTTCGGGGTGAAAAATATTTAATTTTAAATCTCTGGCGGGAAAAAAACGTAAATTTTGAAAATAACCCACCCCCAATTGAAACGAAAGTTATTCAATACAAATAAAATATATATTTTGTTATTAATCGATTTGGAAAAAGAAATAAATATATATATAAAAAAAAAGATGTATAATTACATATATAATTCATAATATTTTTTTGCTTCTTTTTATCATATTTACAAGAATAAATTAGGAAAAAAAAAATAATAATTATTATGATGTTGTTGATGAAGGAATGACGATGCACGTGGATTTTTTTCTCGACTCGACTCGGTTTCACGTTTTCTTTTTATATACACATTTTTACAAAAAAAAAAATAATAAGAAGAAGAAGGAAAATTACAAGTTTTTTTTTTATCTCTTGTATACATAATATATATATATAAATCTCTTTCTATCTCTAAACACATTTTCTCTTTCTTCCTTAAAATAATTACAAGGTGTCGTAATGGCAGTACAATTGCGAAACAGCGTTGCGTTGAAATCGCGTTCGGCTTTGGAAGCCTGTTTCATAAACAAAAAACAACAAAAAAAAAACAAAAAGATTAAAAAAAATGAAATGAAGGAGTAAAAGGAACCGCGTATCTATATCTAGATATATATATAAATTTAAGTGAAGAAACACAATCCACATGATATATTCATATATACAAAGAATAAATTACAAATTAAAAAAAAAAAGACAAGAGGAATGATTATTTTCTGTTTCGTGTCTCTTTCTCTCTATCACTCAGAAATCGTTTAGTCTCCTTCGAAATGTACACACTTTCGTTATTTTCATTATCCACAAATATACAGGACTGTACAAAAAAATATATATTCTTATATTGTTTATATATATATCTGTGTGTGTGTTTGTGTGTGTGTATATATATATATAGTTATGAACGCAACGCTTGCGACGGTTTAGCGAGAAATGGCAGTAGTCGAGTTGGTGGTGTCCTGGTGGTTGTCGTCTTCGTGAGGGTAACGACAATCGTTATTAGTAGCTATTTCTGCGAAGGGGGCTTCGGCTTGTGGTTGGCTGCAATGCGAAGAGCAGAGGGGAGGAATGGAACGAACAAGGGAAGAAATTAGTCATTTTCTGAAGACACAATAACGAGAAGAAAAGAACAAATCTTGTGTAAAGAGATCTACCGTGGAAATGATACATTCACATAGAGCTGGTAAAAAGAATATTTGATGTACGCATTATACTCAGTCATGTTCTATGCAAACGTAACATGTCGCTACTGTAAGCATTCACTCTACTAGCTCTCTAATTATAAGCACAACTATGTTTTTCTTTAACTTTTTTTTAAAAACACCCATCACCAGTTATCACCCTTCACTAGTTACAAATAGCGTGCCAACTAAAGAGATATTAGGAGAAGAAACAAAGAAAATTACTGATAAAAAGCTGGTGTGCCAAATGCAAATAAATAAAAAGAACCATCATATCCAAACACACGGGCATACCTGTTGTTTTTGGACATGCTGCGTATTCCGTAATAAAATTCGCTAACATATCGTCCATTATATTATATGTACCTGGGTGATAAGGGTGAAAAATCGTCAGTGGACAAGATTAAAAAAATCGAAACAATCAAAATCAAAAAGTTGGTAACAAATTTTTAACGTGACATGTGAATTAATTAATAACGATAATTACATACCTGGTGCGGGAGTTGTATAATTTTTATATTTTGAGTTTTGTGTGTAATTGTAGTTCCCACTCTGAAATGAAAAAGAAATGGAAAAAAAAATGATTGATGTTATTTAATGTGCGTTATTTTTTATTTGTTTACGAACCGTAAAGTATTTATCCGAATGCGAATTTAACGTAGGATGTCCGCTGGAAATAAATATTTATATATGAATAAAAGCAACAAAAAATAGAAGTTATAATATACAAATACCTGTTGTAGTTTTTCGAAGAGGTTGCGTTGGAAGTGGAGTTAAAATTGTAGAACTGCTTCTGAAAGCCATCGCCGAAGTCGGGTTTGATGTGGTCGGGGAGGACGTTGTTGGTGGAGGGTGTGGCTGTGTTTGTCGATGAAGAAGACGAGGAAGCGCACGCGGACATTGGCGAGGTTTTCGTGGAGAAGTTCTTGTTGAAGGCGATGACGCTGACCGGGGAACTCGTCAACGAGGATTCGGTCTTTACGAGAGGCGCCGTGATCTGATTCAGGTGTTTCAGATGTTCCATAACTTCTTCGATGGATGCCGTCTCTTCATTGTGAGACTTCTCCTTGTTGCTGTGCTGCTGCTGCTTCTTGCTGTTGTGCAGCATTTCCATCTCTTTGCGAGTGCTCGCTATAATATTGTCTAGTTCGGCGGTGTTCACTATCGATGAGCTCTTCGTCGATTTAACTTTCGTCGTCTGATCGTAGTATTTCGTTTTGCTTTTGGGGCCCGGTTTACGCTTCACCTCACTCGACGATTCTGCGGTAAGATCAATCATCTTCATTTCCGGATTCTTCGGTCGCTCCGGCTCCATCATGGTGTCCTCCAGTATGATGATGTCGTTTTCGAGCGTCTTCGATCGCGACAGATTCTCGGGTTTTGATTCCGAGTGTTCGTTCGTTTTCGTCCTAGCATACGACGAAGAAGAGGAATTCTTATGGTCACTGCTCTTGGATTTCGTTTCCGATTTCGCTTTCTCCTCGGCCTTCAGAGATTTGAGTAGCGACTCCGCGAACAACTTCGAAGAATGCTCGTTCTTGTGCTTAGAGAGGTTTTCTGGTTTGCTCTTGGTGGTGGTGAGGCACTCCGCGTCCGGTGTCTTTGGCGGCGAAGGCTTTATGATGTTCTCGATCTTGTGGTCGGTGGGCGGTTTGATGAATTTCAGCAATTGCTCCGCTTTAGCTTTCAGGTCTGAATCAGTCTTGGATTGTTGCTTAGTCTTGGAGGTAATCACTGCTGGAGTTATGCTTAGACCGCTGCCGCCCATCTTCTCGATTGGCAGTGGTGATTGTTCGATTTTGTTGATGGTCAGCTCGTTCTTTCTCTCCTTCGTCTTGTCGGCTAACATCTTCGCAGCATCCACTGGTATAATGGACAGCATCGAGTTGCTGGCCAACTTTTGCATCTCTTTCGCACCAAGCACTTCTTTTTCACTAACACTTCGTTTCAGGTCTTTTGTACTACTTGGTTGCGTCAACTTTTGCAGTTCCTTGTTGAGGCACACCGGTTTAAGATTGTCCCGAGGTAACGCGTTAATCACCTTCGGATCCCCACCTCCTGGGGATTTCGTGAACTGATTGTACATCTTCGTAAGCGCCGTCATCGACATCCATCCCTCGGGCCATAGAATTTGAATATCCGTCCGCAGGAAAGACAACATTTGCGCCTCCAAAGTTTCCTTGGTCATCGTCATCGGCTTCTTTGCCTCCAGAATGAAACACCTCTTCTTTGTACTTATCACATCCCTAAGTAGTTTCCTACAAAACACAAAAGCAAAATTACCATCTACTCATCCATTCATTAAAACCGAAACCTACTTCATTTCCTCCGACCACGTGAACTTCCTCTTCGGCATCCGTATTTGCTTCTCAGATTCGTTCTCGTTTTCTTTTCTGCAACACCAAAATAACAAATATAACTAAACGAATAAGCAAAACACAAAACGCTTACTTTTTCTGCAAAGTCTTCACGCATTCCTTGTCATAAATTTCTAGCAAAGGTGGCATCGTCGTTTCAATATTAACCTTCAACCTAATAAATACAATAGCATCGAATTAGTAACAGACGCAGATTGAAGTCATTAAGAGCTTACTGCAAAATCATATCCGAGATCCGTTTGTTGTCCTCCACCAAGACCAAATTTTTGGCCCGCTTCGCCAGCGTCTCTTTCCTGCACTTCATTGCGACGCCAAGGTGTTGGTAGATCTTTGATTTTGACTGCTTCCCAAGGCATCGGCACTTCCTTTCGAGACTGCCGAAACGAAGAAACTTATTTAGTACACAGCAATCTCGTGTGCAGAACCCATGTGTGGACATTAATTCACCATTAAACATAATTCTACCCTAACCTAACCTGCACATCCGAAATTCACTTACCTAAGCAACAGCGTATTTACAGGAGTCGTGAAGAGTTTAGTGGAGTCCGAGCAATTAACTGCCGCCTCCTTTAGTTTTTCGATCAGTTCCAGAATGCTAGAAGGAAGCTGTTCAGGTAACTGAACAGCTTCGCTCTTTTCATGCTGCTGCTCCAATATACAGCTGTCCGCACTGTTCTCGCCCTCCGAAGATGGCACAATTTCTGAAAGAAGAAAATAAAACACACATACACAATCACGGCTACTACGATCACTAACACTAACAAACATCCCACAAAAACCATAAACGTATTAGTAGCACAACAGGCCAAGTTACAATTGTCGACAATGAAACACATAATACGACTATTAAGACATACTACGATAAAAATGGATATTTCTGAAACCGATCGCGAACTTACCGGCATCTTTGCTTATCGAACAATTGGTAACCGGTGTAACGTCTTTACTGCTATTTACATGTTCCTTGCGGCTCTCGCTCTCTAAGATCTTGTTGCCATTGTCTACAACCGTCGGTGGTTCAGGGACATCGATCAAGTTAACCTGACCCGTCGGTTTCTTGTTCTCCTTCATCGCATCTGCAAATAAATAATGATCTGTAAACGCGCGTCTTTGTAGGATAAAAAAAACATCAACACCGACCTTTCTCTCCGGCATCCAACACTTTGCTGCTATCGTTAGAGCCGATAATGTTACTCTCTTCTCGTTTCTCACGCAGCAGGTCTTTCTTCCTGTTCTCATCCTTCTTATGTGGCTGCAACTGCTTTATCTTGTCGGGTAGGACGAGCTTTCGCTCTTTCTGAGCTGCTTCCCCATTCACCACCGTCTTCTGCTTCTTGTTCTGGTGGATCTTCTTCGCTGCGCCCTTTCCATTTTCAGTCTCCTTTTCTCCCTCCGATTCCGACGACTCTAGAACCCTCTGCAAAAACGTCCAATTACAATTCCGCGCAAATGTGAACGGCAAAAACAGTGTTTTACCTTTGAGTTTGGTCTCTTCGCCGGGGCCTCATCCTCCTCGTCCTCGCCACTCGATGAGAACGATCTCGACGATACATCCGAGCTAGCCTCGTCGTCGGCCTTAAATTCCAGCTCCCCGGAGTTGATATAGAATCCGCCGTGCAGGGTGGTAACGTTCTGCGGAATCATCTCATCGTAGCCATCGGTATTGTCGATGAACGAGTCGGACTCATCGTACCCCATGCCTATATCCGCGTAGTCGTCCCTCCTGCCTTTCCGTTTCTTTTTCAGCGAAGGCCCTCCTCCCTAATCAAAAACAAAAGTATAATCAATTATAAATCGGTCCAATTCCTTCTAATCTTTAAATACTCACGTATTTATTCTCCATTTCTTGAGCAATTCTACGCACGTCATCGTCGGCCTCGTCGAACGGGTCCAACTCGTTCGCACCAGACCGATCGCCGACGTTTGCATTGTTACCTTTCAATTTCTCCTTTTTCTGAAACACAATCCAAACCAAAACATTACCAACATATACAGAAAACAAACATATTCAACAAAAAACAACATAAATGCTCATTGATAAAATTCACACAAAAAATAATAATATTTAAAAACTAGTAATTTTAAATCATTGATAATATTCTGTCTATAGATCGAACAGTACAAACATTGTTGAAAGCAAAAACAAAAGAGAAAAGTTTGTATATCCGATAGGCGGATAATAATTTTGTAATGTGCACACAGATATATCCCTCGATAAAAAAAAGGTCAAACGATCTTTAGTTTACTAGAGTGAATGGAGACCTCGCTTTTTCCGACCGGTTTAACGTGTCCAATTTGCAACTTTTGTCCAGTTCATATATATTATTCTTTCGTTTTCACTCCGGGAACAATTGCATTCTGAATAATGAGTTACACACAAAAAAAAACCGTTACCTCGACGGATTCACAAAGGAGCTAGTTTTGTTCTCACGAAGCTTTCGTAATTCCAATTGAATTTTTATGTATTTTATCTATTCTCAGACTTATACTGTCCATATAATTATACAAATGTAGACAGACAAGTTTTATGCCTTTTTCATCAGAATTTTGTTGTTTGATATAAAATGATTTATAAATGTAATCAAGATGTCGTGTTAATTCAAGAAGAAAACAAACTAAAGCGGAATGTTTAATTTTATAACATTTTGTGTACGTTAATGATTAATGCGAATTTATGTGACGTTTATTGGAAACAATGAGCAAACAAAAGAAAAGTTGAAGAGAGGGATGTTGTTAGGGGTCATAGACCATCTGAATTTGTTTGTAAACATATCCGATGTTTACGTCGAGTAGAAAATGAAAGTGGAGGAGGAGATCCGCTCGCAACGAGGACGACGGCCGTGAATCATTCATATAACGCGTGCACGTAATAAGCACGTCCTTCGTACGAGAAGTAGCGTGCTGCGCGAAAGCTGTAGCAGTCCGCGCACCACGTGCATCCAAGTCTGAGCCCACACTAACATCGCTTCGAGCCACTACTACCTTCGACGTACTCCTGATCTCCTGGTATTTTCGCGCGTTTTCGCCGCCTCTATTCCAGTCCCAAACTGGCAGCTGCAGCCCCACGGACCGAACAAAAAGGGCCTGCACTGTTAATTATGCGAGTGGACAAGACGGCAATCAGAAAAATATTGATTGACACGATCAGAAGAAAGGAAGAGAATTTTTCATCTTGTTACATTGGGATAGAAGAAGGCGTCGAAGCGATGCGCCCACCGCCTACCAGGACCGTACGAACGCTCTACAACCTCCAACGCCGCCGGAGGAGTTGCTGCTCCCACCCTACCGCAACAGATCCTCAATTAGATCGTTTACATATACAAACAAAACCGAAAATAAACATACGAAAGAAAAAAAACACCACCGTCCAATATGGATTAAAATCATTTTAGTTAATCATTTCCTAATAAGAATTCAAATAATAATTTATAGTTAATCAAATTAGAATTCGGCAATACGTAATTTCAGTTACTTTTAAACAACTTCCACGATTTCTAAATTTAATTAATAAAAAAAACAATTATAATTTTAAGTTAATTATTATGATATATGATTAAGCGTTTATTAATAGACTCTTAATAAAAAGTTGATTAATTTATATCTTTGCGAGGGTCGAGATGCAAAGGTAAATTAATTAGATGTAATTAATCATCTTCTTTGGACATATCCAATTGGAATGGTAATTAATCGATGGGTGATGGTCTAAAGTGGAAGTTATGCAATCAGGTAATCGATGATTACTTATTAAGTTTTATTCTTTTTCGTTTTGTTTTAAATATGTTATTTTGTTGTTGGCTTTGAGCGACGTTGCCGCGCGCCTCTGAGCGGCGAGTGTTTTGGCGCGAATCCGCAATTAAAAAAAAGAGCGACAAGAAGATGCGAATCGAATTATATAATATCGATGATGATGATGATTGATGAATGAAGTTGTTCGTGGTGCGATTTCACCTGGGTCACTTTCTTGTCGTGCGTTCGCACTTTCTAACGTGTCATCATTGTCATCACAGAAAAAAAAAACACTGCTCACTGCTTGATGATGATGATTATTGCATTTGTTTTTTTTTTTTGGTGGGTTTGGTGGACGCGCCCTCCGGTCGAGCTTAGCGTTGGCGACTGACACGATGCGATCCTAGGCGGCAGCTGTCGCGAGAGGAAGCGAACTCCTGCAGGACCTGGAGGATGACGACGTGGAGGGTTCACGCAACGTGCAGACGTCCATCGCGTCGGTTTGGGGTGACAGGGTGGATAATGCTCCGTCTTTAGAGGAGACCCGCACACTTTGTCTTGGAGTGTTTTGTTTTTTCTTGGCTCTTTTTTTGCACTGTACCCCGCAATATGGCGGATCTCTGCGTGTGTATGTATGTGTGTGTGTGTGCATTGGCCGAGGAGCACTAACGTAGGGGGGCCCCACTTCGTGTGCGTGCACTTTCACCCGTTGCACACTTCCGTAGGATACGAATTCTGATAGAGTGGAGATCATTTCCACTGTCTCCTGCCTCTGCATTGTCCTCTTTTTTTTGTTGTTGCTGCTGCTGCTGCTTTACACGTATGTGTGTGTGTGTATGTATGCAACGGAATGGAACAGTACACTTACCTTTGTGGCAGCTAGCTCTTCCTTGTAGTTGAATACGGGGCATGTTTCCTGTTCGTTGGAATCGGGCAGCAAGAATGTTAGTCTGACCGTCCTCGGTGGTGGTGCAGTCGTCTTCTGTTTGCCACTTCCTGATGCTAGATCACCTTTATCCGCGCCGAACGGTATCAGTGCGATCCGCCTGATTTCTGACATTTTTCATCACTTTTGATTAGATTGCGTGTGTGTGGTTCACGAGCACAGGCGGGTTTCGCTCCAACATTTAAATAGACAGCATTCCCAACATCTCTAACCTAATTCGCGGTGCGCGCGCCTACGTCACTGCGCACTGCTTTTGACAGATCAGATGATTCCCAACAGCTACTGCAGCCAACTGCTGAACACGCTATCCACTCTTAGACACGATCTTCCTAGCCGCCAAAAGGTGGCACCACATATTCATATTTCCTCAACATATTTGACTTTTTCAAAATTTCATTAATTACTGAACAAGTTTGTATGTTTCTAAAAAATATTGTAAAAAAAAATCATTGATCAATTAAAAAAATCTACCAAAAGTTGTTTACAAAATTAACAAATCGAAAAGTTTTTATAATTCTAGGTTTATGATTTATACACTTTCTATAGTAAATTTGCTTGTTTTTCAAGAAACATTTTAATTACTGATAATCTGATAAAGCATTTTTTATTCATTGCATTTGCCATAAAACATTTCTAAATAGGGCAGAAAGACCTATGGTCAATAGCCTTTCGTAACGGTTGACTTTTTTGAAATTATAAATACTTATTTTGTTCTTTTTATTTCTTTATATGTTTTTTTTTTGCTGTGGCAATCACAAGCCCGACAACCGAAAAACCGTCTATTGAAATCCCGACGTTCGAAATCCCGACTATATCGAAATCTCGACAACTATAAACCCGACTATATCGAAATCTCGACAACTATAATCCCGACTATATCGAAATCCCGATTATATCAAAATCTCGACAACCATAATCCTGATTATATCAAAATCCCGACTATATTAAAATCCCGACAACCATAATCCCGACTGTATCAAAATCCCGACAATATCGGAAATGTCTACAATAACATTTTTAAATTATCCCGGAGCGTAGTGACTTTTAAATTGTTATTAATTATAAATAATAACAATTAATAATCTAGTTGTATTTAAGATTATTTCATAATGTTAAGGTTTATTATGTTTAATTCAACAAAATTAAATAAATTCATAATAATTTATTGTTATGAATAATAAAAGTGTAGCACAAGGTGACTACGCTCGGAAATAATTTAAAAATGATAATGTAAAAATTTTCGATATAGTCGGGATTTTGATACAGTCGGGATTATGGTTGTCGGGATTTTAATATAGTCGAAATTATGGTTGTCGAGATTTTGATATAATCGGGATTATGTTTGTCGGGATTATCATTGTCGAGATTTTGATATAGTAGGGATTTCTATACAGTCGGGATTTCAATAGACGGTTTTTCGGTTGTCGGGCTTGCGATATAGACCCGTTTTTTTTTTGTACGACTGATGCAATAAACAAACTTGGCCATTAATTTCGACGACAATAAAATTGATTGCAAAACATTCTAAATCAACCAAATTTTTCTATGCAAGGAAATCAACTCAACATGTTTTCCATGCGAGATAAATTAGAGGTAATGAAAATAAAACTTCGAAAATTTTTCTCAAATGATTGCAGATAATTGTGAATTTGATAAATAACATACAAATTATTTATTTGAATATCATCTCCAAAAAATAATTGAATAATTTGACAAATATTTTCCAAATAATCAACTTGATATCAGATAATTCTAATACAGTGAAACCTCGCTTAACGAGTTTAATCCGTTCCAAAATTTCCGGATTTTTACACGTATAGTGAAACATATTCAAAAATCCAGGACTTCTCTTCTCATCGTTACTCGTTATGCGAAACGTCGCTCGTTAAGCGAGACATTTACATCGCTTAACGAGCAAAATGATCGTTATGCGAGGTTCCACTGTACTTTAAATAAATATTTGATAAGGAATATCCGTCAATATTGAAACAAAACAACAAATAGAATCTTGCATGAGAATATCATTGTGTAACGCAATTGCAGTGCGAATAGACAAATTAGTGGTAAGAAGTCTCATTAATTTTGGCACATGGCAATTTTAATATAATTATTATCGATTATATTAAATATTATTATATATTCACTATTTTAAAAAAGTAGGCTGCGAATATATTTTAGGATTTTAAGGGGGCTGCGAATACTGAAATGTTAGGAACCACTGGTATGGACTATTGTTTATAAAGAATACAAGTGAACAGATGGGGTTCAAATAATGCGGATTTGTACAGGCGTTTTGACCTTCAAGTTGAGAAAAACTTGACCATAAGAAGGACATTCCAAGAAGGTCCAACTAGCCACCGCAATACGGTTTACTTTATGAGATACTCATTGTTTGGATCTTATCCCATATACCTCCTATCTTATCCCATTTTTACAAATTTCTTTGTATTGACTTATTTATAAAAATTATCGTTACTTTGCATTCTATTAACATATTGTAAATATACACTAGTAATAATTTACAGTACAATATTAAATAAAATGAGAAAAAAATAAGATAAATTTATATTTGTTATTTTTGTAATTGGATATAAATTAGTTCACAAATGATAGATTTCAAAATCCCGACTATATCGAAATCCCGACTACCATAAAAATGTTATTGTAAAAATTTATAATAATAAAGGACACTGTCGGGATTTCGATATAGTCGGGATTTCAAACGTCGGGATTTTGAGCCAGACGGGATTTCGATAGACGGGATTTCGGTTGTCGGGCATGCGATTGCCATCTATATAGTTTACTCAATCAATTCAGCAAAATATTTATTTACATTTAGTTTTATATAGCTTTTTAACTTTATATTTAAACTACAACATGTATAAAATTGAAAAAAAAACAACAATTATTTTATATTTAATGCAACATGGATGCGGAAGTTAACGAAGAAAATAGTTGATAAAGTATCATCGAAGACGGAGGATTTATATTTTGTTAACATTTATTAAAATATTGTAATAATATTCAGTAAATATTAGATTATCTAAATTTAAACACATTTCGGTACTGATTATTTCATTCATTTCATCTCATAACATTTATATCGCATTACTAATCTACTAAGAAATTACAAAATTTGATTTAATTAAAGTTTATACTGAAAAGTACGTATAGATTAATGAAATTAAGATGTGTTTCTTAAATGAAAGCACTATTTTCTTTTTTCTTCAGTTTTTCAGTTGAAGCGCTCTTAATTAATCAGGTTAAAATGTTTTTTGTTTGTTTTTTGTTTTTTTTTTGGTGTTGGATGGGATGCCTGTAAGTTTGTTCTTTTAGTATCTCGATTTCCGTTAATAAAGGCTATTGGTTTTGAGGCTTTTCACGTTAAATCAAAGTTAGTTTGGGGGAGTTCTTGATTCGCAGCGACCGGCGAATTGTAAACGCTGAGTGTAATAGAATTCCCTACTAGTAGAATCCCCCAGGGAACTGACCTAGCCGCCGGGAAGCCTACTTCCCTTGCTCTCATCCTCTATCTCTTTCTCTTACTCACACACACACTTGCCATATCTATATCCGTTTCCTGATCATCTACATCTCTCTCACTCTCTCACTCTAACGTTAATCTGGATCCGCTCGAAGTTCTCTCCCCGTTAACAAAACAACGGTCAGTCGCTGCCACCATCAAATATTTAACATGCAAACTTTCCCAGTACCGGCCGCCTCGATCTATGCGTTACGTAACGACGCAAAACCTTAATAGTCATCGAATTTAAATCGAGAACAAACTTTGAATAATAACATGATGTGCTCGAACATGATGATACACTCTCACACATGCAGCCAATAAAAAAAATAACAGATTTCAGGGATTTGCAAATCCTTTTTTTTTCAGGATAAAACGAATTCACGTCACGCACGCTTTCAATGTGCGTTCGCCGTTTCCAAGTCATAGACACTCCTTAGTAGATTCAATCACCGTTGCTAAGGAAACTTTAACTTTTGTTTTCGCTTAATTTGTTACTTATTCCTTTATTTTATTTCTTGCTTTATATTGAAAATTGTTGCTAACCAAGTTGCTTGTATATTGTTTAAAATAAACATTACTTTTAATTGGAGAAATAGATTACAACGCATGAAAATATTATTTTTTTTTAAACAATGACAATTACAAATTATGTTGCATAACCACAATTAAATGTCATGAAACGTCATAGACGCACATTTACCAACTTGTAGAAATAATAATAAATTTCATAAATCACTAACTAAATTATCATTATTTACGAATAAGTACGTGAAGTAATTGTAATTACTTTTAGTGTTTTTGTTAAATTGAGAGAACGACAGGTGTTTGTCGTAATGATATGGTAAATGTTTAGTAATAAATTGTGTTGCCTATAGGAATATTTAATGAATTATAGTGATTAATGAGAAATAAATAAATAAATTAATTGATATTGAAAGGACGGACATTCGTAATTTCAATTATAATAGAAAATTAAATTAAATTAAATTAAAAAAAATAAATACGGTTTAAATTGTGTCATCATTTTAAACTATCTCCACTATACAATTTAATATTTTATTTGGTCTGAGACTTGTACTAACCACTTTTGTTTATTATCTTATCAATAAATTAAAAATTAAGTAATCTTTTTTGTGTCGTAAGTTGTGTTGCATATATTCAAACCGACAACCGAAATACCGCCAATCAAATTTCTGACGTTTGAAATGCCGACGAAACCATAATCCCGACTATATCTAAATCCCGATTATATCGAAAATTTTTACAATAACATTTTTAAATTATTCCGGAGCGTAGTGACTTTTATATTGTTATTAATAATAAATAATAACAATTAATAATCTAATTATATTTGAGATTATTTCATACTGTTAAGGTTTATTATGAATAATTCAACAAAATCAAATAAATTAATAATAATTTATTGTTATTAATAATAAGTGTAGCACAAGGTGACTACGCTCGGAAATAATTTAAAAATGTTATTGTCGGAATTTTGATATAGTCGGGATTATGGTTGTCGAGATTCTGATACAGTCGGGATTATGGTTATCGAGATTTTGATATAGTCGGGATTTCAATAGACGGTCTTTCTGTTGTCAGGCTTGCGATATAGACCCAAATAAATTACATTGAACGTGAAGTTACTCTATTTATTAACAATTAAGTTACTAATTCTTTCAATGTAAATAACTAATCAAAGGTTGG